GTTCGTACTCCAAGGCCGATTACAAGTATAAGGACTTGGGATACATGGAAACATATACGTTGTAGAGACATAGGAGACATACATGTGGCAAGGACAGTGGTTGTGACAAATTCATAACCTGTAACAATCCTCCAAATTTATAACCTGTAACAATCCTTAGCTGGTGTGTTACGCCGAAGGGCGGATATACTAGCTATACTTTACAGATGCAGAATCCCCTAAATTCGTAACCTGCAACAATCCCCAGTAGGATAGTATCTGATCCTTCCCTACATATCTCCAAACACTCAAGACTTGATGACAACAAGATGAATGACTACTTGAAGAAGGTTCATCTATTGACCCTCACAAATGAGGCACTTAAGTCCCACCTGGCATCAATTTGGTGTAACTTATCTTCTCTCATCACTCTTTAAGTGACCTGCCAAGATGCTTTAATATAGGCAGGGGTCGAAATAACCCTCTGTGTGCAACTTGGTGCAAGTAAATTTGGTGTCGTGCAACTAATTTTTTGCCTGCTTGCACCATGGTGCAAGTTTGCTTTATCCACTGTTACTACCTGTAGAATTACCCAATAATATCAATTAATAAAGAACTGGAGTGGAAGGGAACAAAACCAGAATCCATGAAGTTTTTCTTCATTTTTTGTAAGTAACAGAAGGTTACTATCTACGTCGCTGCCAGCGGATGTTTCCCATCACTTCTGTATTTTTGGAGGGTGCAACTATTTTTCTTCCGGTGCAAGTATTTTTCTTTTCATTTGCACCAGTGCAAGTTGGCCCCAAAATCTATTTCGACCCCTGATAGGTCAAACAGCTATCATCTTGGGAAGACAAGAATTAAGAAATACTGAGAAGACCTGAGAAGATCACCCAGGATCACCTTACCTTGTGGCATATTGATTATTACACAGAACAATTTATTTGATATGGATCTTTGAGTATGGAGGAGGATTTTGATCTATGTGTTTACACTATAAAAGGGTAAGGCAGAACAGCACATACTGAAGATCTTAAATGTTTTCAGGTAGGTCTTTTTTAAATGGGACACTGTGAACATGCGTTTGAACTTTCCAATGTATTTTTACTGCAATACTACAGAATATTGTTTCAACTACAAACTTCAAACACAGGAAAGCCTCATTCCCCATTGTAGTAGTTTTACTGCAAAAATTAATGAATTTACACTACTGCCTTCTTTCGAGCAAGTTTCTACCCATTTCTACAGTACAAAATCAATGTTTTACAGCCAAATTCATATCTACTTCCAGATGTATATCAACTTCCCTACCCCAAGGAACAAATTGATCTACGTTGTTATTCATTTCTTCTGAACAAGCTAAGTCAGTGATCATGTCTTAAGGCAATGGTAGCTATTCAAAATGACTGCAAGCTCAAAGCCATAGTTACGACTTACAAAAGCTCTCCCTTACAATCAGTCAATACAGACATCCTTGCCATTCCAGTACCATTCATGTCGGGACGTTAAATATTTATAAGATTGGATTTTCTCCAGAATAGGCTAAGTTGTTTTACTTTGGCTCCGTGCCCAGGTATGAATGATGTATTTGATGCTTGTAATGGAAAAATCTTGTCTTAATCTCAGTTCTTAATATATTAGTTACATCAAAGTAAGGCATTCGTTGTGTAATTTATGACAACAGATTAAAACAATACACAACTACTTAGGGAGTCATTTATAGTTGCAGTATCTTCAGTGCAACGTTAAATCTTACTGTTCTCAAACAGAATAATTCTGTTGAACATTTTCTCAGTATAGTCATAATTTATTTAACAAGAATGTTGTGTCTAAAGCATATATAAGAGTGTCTAGTACAAATGGATAAAGAACTCATTGCACAAATTTTACTCGACGACAAAAAAAATAGTCATCTAAAAGGCACTACATGTATTGTAGGTCTTCAGGGTCAAAATTATTTTCATATTGAAATGTATCAATTTAGCTTATGAAGTTGCTTACATCTTTTTCTGTATTTTTTTTCTAAAACTTGTTTCTGCAAACAGCAGATTGAAGTATCCTTGTGTTTTAGAAAAAAATTATCATGATCCATCCCTGAAGTTACCTGGCTTCATGCAGAAAACTATAAATGGAGGAAATTAAACCGTTATCAAGAGTGTTTTTATCCTTATCTTGGAGTGCTCACTTAACAAGTCTCAACACATCCCTGGTTAGATGTGGGCTTCTGGGAAGTCAGGTGTAAGGCCATAGGTCAGAGGTCACCAGACACCGCTGATAAGAGCAACTACAAGCTCAAAGTCTGCCCACTTAAGCATTTAAATTCCAATTAGTTCATATTTCGGACAGGTACAGAAAAGGGTGAACCAACGGAACCAAATTATGCAGAATTCACCAAGGAGGAAGAAAAATGCTTGCGGCGAAGAAAAAAGGGGAACAGTTCAATTTGTTGTCCTCTGGGTAGACAAGTATTCAAGCATGCATAATGGTCGACTGTACACTCGGTCAGTGTTACTTCTCTGTTTTGTTCGATTTTTTTCTGGCGCTTACTTCCTCAAACCCTGCAATGATTCAAACATCAAAGAAACTATTCGAGCATCAAGAAACTATCTTTCAACACAAAACAACAGTATCAAAGCTCTACTGTTAGTGTTACTTCAGTAAACAGTAAAGCTACAAACAGAGCTAAAAATAGCCATTTCACATTTAAACTGTACATGAAATACCAATTGTTTTGCACATACATGGTAGGAGATTACTATTTACATTGAATAAACAACATTTCAGAGCGTCAAGGCAGGTCAATGCAGACAGGGCTTGAAATACTGGATGCAGATGCATGTGCACCTTAGTACACCCAAATTTGGACCTGTGCACCCATTTTTTTCTGTGGGTGCATCAGTGCACCCAAATATTTTCATAGGTTTACGTATGTAGAGATGTTAAATGTATACAGCATATTTAAGGGGTAGAAAATAATGAAATCATTGTTGTAATACTTTTCTTTAGAATAGAAATAAACATTTGTTAACATTTTACTTAGATTATCTATATGGTGCACCCCCAAAATTTTTTGTGCACCCAATTTTTTTAGGTAGGTGCACCAGTGCAGTTACTAGTATTCCCAAAATGAATTTCGAGCCCTGACAGACGACCATTTTATTTACTCCGCAGGGGGCCATAAAACAAGTCAACAGAACAGGAACAATACTGCTAATTAGTGGGCTGCATTTAATTAGCTGAGACCTGTTAAACTGAGATTAGGAGTTTAATACCTGTAAATAACCTGTGATAATTGTTTGCTATTACAGGTGTGAATAACATACTGACCACGTGTGATACACATGGTTTGTCCTGAATTTACTAGTTTTTATTGAAACTTTTGTATACAAAATCACCATGTTTGTTCCCTATGTTGTAGCGGGGCTCTCCCCAAGCAATGAAGCAAGGGTGCACCCCCTCTCCGCAAAATCCTAGCACCTCTCCCAAAATGTTCAAATTTAGGGTTTTCTCTTAGTATTTTCATGGAAATTTACTGATTTTTCATCAACAAATAATTGACATGGGCGTACCAGTTTAATCTTTCCTTGTACTGTCAAATGTTTTCTTTATTTATTTATCAATATTCTTCTGTTATAAGTAAGTGATTACCAAGGAGTTATTGAACTGTACATGAAGGAAAATAACTGGAAAACAGGAAATTATGCTGTGGTTATGAGCAGAACTTCAAGCTATTATTTTGGCCACAAATAAAGTGTTTGTTCAACTGGAAACCCTCTGAACAGATGTTACATGTTGGACGTGGGAATTTGATTTAAAGATTAGTCAATAATGTCTGGGATTTCTTGCACCAGATAAAGGGGGAATTATGCTGGGAGTTGTGTATGGATTATCTTGTGGGTTACATAATGATAACGTAATATTGACTTTTTACATGGATAACTACTATCACACAACTCAAACCATACCAGGAATTTTCACAGAAGTAATTAATGTTATTTTCAGTTTAACATTAAGTAAATTTCATAAATACTACTGCAAGATTTATAAATTTCTTTTCTCTTTTAGTAAAATATTTAGTGGGTATGGATGGGGGTATGCAATTACAAATATGGTAAAATTTTATGCTTTTTGGTTAGAATTGCATAAAATTAAAACAGCTCATATTTGCCTTACAGAAGCAAGAAAGGCATTAATATTTAGTTCTGAAAACTAGATTAGACAAAAAGCCCAGAAGCCATATTGCCCATATAACACACCACTTCCTGTAGACATCTGTGTAGGATTTAAGCTACTGAGTCATGACTCATGGTTCCCTACCCACACACTCTGCCAACCAAAACAACTGTTTAATGAGGAAACTACAGATCAGGCAAGATCAAGTTAGCTCTTTGGTTCTTACATATAAAAACAAACTAATTTTGTAACGTAATAGTATGTAAAATTGTATGTAAGTATACTTCATTGAAGGTAAGTATGTATACAGCTATATGATTGACTAATTTAGAATAAATATGACCAACCAAATATGTCCAACCGAAATTTTCTTCATGTTCTGTTGCTAAATATTTCGTTGAAAACTGTATAAAACCAAGAAAATATATTGACCTTGCATACAGATGCTTGTCCCAATTCCTGACCCAAAAAAATTATTCGGAACCAATCTTTGGACCTTAGATCAAAGGATCAATGGTTTCGTATCTGCTGTGTGTTTTGGAGTAGTGGGGAAATTATCATGACTCAACCGATATTCTGTCAGCAGGGCGAGACAAAGCGGCTATTGAGTGAGGTTAGGAGACCCGTGTGGGTTTGGAATGGAAGGAAGCCGGCGGTAACTTTACACTCTTCAGCCTTCCCACACACATCAAGTACCTAAAAAGGGGGGAGGGGGGCGACACAATGCTAATCCACCACAACCGCCATTTTTCCAACCAGGAAGTGCGTGCAACAGGCTGTGTTAGCCAGATTTTCGTTCAAATCGGACGGTTTTTGCTATTTTGTGGGATTGTGGATGTGATACTTACTGTTTTCGGCATCTCGGTGGTATTTAGAGCGCTGTCCTAGTGAAAAATCCTGTCAGAAATCCTTGTCGTCCGTTCGGTTGCAAAATAGCCGCTTGGCGCGCGACGTCGCTGTTGGAAAGATCCACTCCAAACTGTGGGAACACAAAAAACACGTCGGTAAAAAATTTTCCCCGCCGAAATCTGCAGAAACTGGGCAGCTCTGGATTGTGACAGGGGTTTAGACCGGCCAGGCTGGATGTGGTCGGCCCGAGGAATGAGTAAACAGAGGCGTGTATATCATCGGAATGACGTACGTCGTGAATTTTTCCCGCGGGGTCGAAGTTCCCTCCCTTACAACTACACGGTGACGTGCAAACACGCGAGCTCGACAACCCTTCAATTTCACCCCCGTAACTTCGCCAAATTGCCCAAAAACTTCACAAAACTCGCACAGTAGGTACATAACATTCTCATCTCACGTACCACAAAATATCGGGCTCCGAAATCCCTCAGAGAGGCAGCACACGGTGGTTTTTGACGACAGTTCGGGCCAGCTCAGGTGGCTATACCGGCCTTCCCTCCAATATGGCCGCCGTACGCAGGGTGTGGTGCCGTCCTGAGCACCTGTCAATCATCCGGGCCGCCCGGAACTAGCAGAGGGTCGCTTGGGGGTTTACAGAAAACCGGACTATCATCCTTTAATACGTTCGTTCTGAACGAATAAATTATTCAAAATTCATAAACTGTGTACTTTGCAGAAGTCTTTCAATCGCTGTTATTTCTACAAGGCAATTTATGTTTCTAATGTCGGAAAATAAACTTAATTTTATGTTAGCCATGTCCAAGTAAATAATGAAACAAGGCAAACCTTTCACGACAATACTAGAATCTAACAGTATTCAATATTTTTGGAGCTCAATAACATATTATATGGTATATCTAACTTTCCCTGCTAATATTATAAATGTAAGAACTGTTGTATATTCCGTCTAGTGTATGGGACGGGGCATGTATACAAAACAGCTATTTCTCCATTCCATTTCAGGATTTTCTTGCTGATAATTACATAGCATATTGATTAGGTAGACATAGAGTGCTACCATCATCTTTCGAGATGGAAGAATGCCTACTACTACTATTATAAATGTATCTAATACAATACAACCTATTCGGATCAAATGAGACGGTATAAATATAACGCTATATACCATCGTCCTTGGTTTGGGGTAGACAGGATCTCTAAAATAACAGGATGTCCCCTTTCGGCTCCGTTTGATGTGCTGTTTACAACAACAGTCAAAGAAAACGTGTCCTCATGTGTTCTGTTTTGGTGTCTGAATCGCCTGACTTTCACAGCTGATAGAATTTAACATGCATCGATGATTTCATATTTATATATCAGCAAGAAAGTCGGAGTAACCACAAAAATCCCTGGCATTGTATGGTAGGAATGAAGAAATAGTTGGTTTGTACTACATGTCCCTTTCCATATACATGTACTACTAGAAAACTATACAACAATTTCCTTACGGATTTATCATTTGATGCTTTAATATTTTCGTCCTGAATTTGAATCATTGTATTTGAAATGTTAAATCCATTTTTTTTCTCATTTCAGGTTATGGCCATGATGGCGGACCGCTTTCGAAGATGACGTCATCACATGAAGTGCAGATCTGGGGATGTGAAGTTGCCATGACAACCGCGATATATGTTTTTAAAAAAAGTCAAAAGTATTTTTAAAAAATCAGAAAATGACGACATATGCTCTATACCCGGATAACACCGGGTCACCATACACTTCGTACAATAGACGATATAGATACAGTAGATAATACATGTAACTTTATAATTACATGAAACATATACATAGGTACTCTTTGAGTGTCCTTTAAAACCTACGAACCAATTAAAAGTTGAACAATATTTTCCTCCAATCTGTTCCGTAATGTGTGTGTTTTTCAACATTGAACAGGATCCAATCTTCAAAAAGACAAAACATGGAAAACACGTGCGCTAGAAACGCTACTACTAGTATAATGTGACTCACTGTGTGTTTTAATTGCGAGGTCACTGAATGCAAGGACATTATATAGTGCCCTACAAAATGTCCTTGCCATATGAGAGGGTCTGCATGGGGGGGTCCTGGCAACGGTTAACGGTAAATTCAGCAGGGCCGATAACGCTTAACGGTAAATTCAGGACGATCGGCAACGCTTAACGGTAAATTGACAGGCTTTTTTTTTAGAGCTGCACTGGATTTGGTATCTCGCTTTGTGAGAAAAGGTGATCACTGACAAAATTACGTATACATGCACAGTAATGAAGCATGCATTAAGTTAAAGGTATGTGTTCCCTGTGTTTCCCACCTGCCCTGGTCCCCGAGTGCGTCCACAAATACCGGGGTGTCCGAGTGGACGTCGGCCAGCTCGCATTTTTTCAGTCTGCCCAGTTTTACCGATGTAATCTAGGGGGGTCCGGGGGAATGGGGGTCCGGGGCTCCCCCGGGAAATTTAGGATTTTTTAAGCCTTCAAAAACGCAATTTCCCGCATTTTGAGAGGTCCTGATGTTTTCATATTTTACTCAAGATTTTTGTTAATTTGCCTGTCAAGGTTGACGGATTCGTTAAAAAAATTCTGTAACACTCCGCAAACTTATTAAAATTGAAGGGAAAACTGGTTCTGGCTAGAGCCGAAGGGACTGAGCGCAGAAGCGCGAGTCGAGCGCCAAAGGCGCGAGCAATGTAGGGGGGTCCGGGGGCATTTCCCCCGGGAAATTTTGTATTTTTAAACCTTCAATGACGCATTTTCCTGCACTTTGAAAGGCAAAATTAGGCGTAACGAAGAATTATTCATTAACGCTTAACGCTGAATTTAGGATGGCAAATAACGTTTTACGTTGAATTAAAACGACCCATAACGCTTCACGAGGAATATACTGATAACGCTTAACGTTGAATTAGAGCGGGCCGGTAACGATTAACGGTAAATTAAAATAGCCCATAACGGTTAACGAAAAAGGGCATGCAGACCCTCATATGAATGCATATCGTAATTAAAAGGCTATTAACACCAAGAATTCGCCAAACCGCCATGTAGACCCTCCCCACGTGTGACCCCATTTCCCGACATCCCCTGGGGGCCCTTCAGGTCGAGGGTTGTCGCAGTTAAACGTTAATTAGCCAGTGCTTAAGCAAGGTCTTAACTTTTCCTATTCCCAAGACGGTACCATCTTAAAATATTAATATTTTTATTGTTTACAACAAATATTTATCTTTATTGATATAATTCTTGTTGTTTTGGTGACCTGGAAAATGTAGGAAAAGTCTAGACGTTTGCATGCGGGTTGTAAGATCAAGTTTCACCTTTTTCAAACTTGCCGCCTATTCAAATAATACAAGACAAACAAACCGTCTTTTCAGGCTCGAAAAAACAACATTTATACAACTACGCAGATATACACAGACTTCCTAACAATTAGCTGTGTTATTCTTTTTAGGAGGCTTTAATAAAGAAAAGGGCTTAAATTGCGGTCTTGTAGTGCATTTTTCCTAATATATAGCTTCTGGGTCTTGTACTAACCAGCCGTAACATATTTCAGAGGACTACGTTTGCCCAGTACAACAATCAGAGTAGCCTCTACCAGGCTTCGGGAGGGGGTTGGAAATAGTAGAAACTGGCCAAATAGAGAGATAACATACCAACTGTTCTCTAGCTCTCTACCGGACCAACTCTCTTGGTATGTTACCTCTCTATTTGGCCAATTTCTACTCTTTCCAGCCCCCTCCCGAAGCCTGGTAGAGGCTACAATCAGAGTACAGATAGAAGCTAGCCATCAGCAAAAAAAGCCCTCCAAAACGCCCCAGTTTTAGTGCCTGCTAAAAGCTATGTACCCGTGTGTATGACGAACGCATCTTCCACGGCTAAAGTGTGGTTTAAACACCGTGAACCCCGATAAACGCACCTGCTATGATGGAACGATGACAGAAAGTCGATACTCCTCCTCTGTGTAAAGTGGCAGCCAGCAGAAAAGAGTGGCACTAAATTGTCCTCGAACCGTTTTCGTCCATTTGGAGCCATCTCATATATGTGTTATGGAGTCACAATGATGGTGCATGGAGGGGACTTAGATTTATCTCGTGGTAAGTGATATGTCTAGATAGTTGTTACGTATCGCGAGTGCATGCATGTATTCTTTTCGAGGCGAATTGTATAAGTCATAGGGCCAACTTATTTTCACTCAATTCATAGAAAATCTCAAACAGTGGTAGGTTTTAACGTTAGTAGCATGCTTACCCCTAAAGAGTCATCATACTAGTATAAGAAAACTTTCAAGCAGACGTTTAATGCTTTTAAAGCCATTAAAGTATAATACATGTAGTTGCTATGACTGTTTCGTACCGTCAGTGAATGGGCTTTCGTAGCCTTTAAATTATTTTATCCCATCTTACATAAATCCTGAAATCAGAACACCGTTTCGAAATAGCCCTCATTTGCAAAATCGTCCTACGATCTCATGATCGATCTGGTAATCATTGGTTCTTCTATAGAGGTGTACCGGTAACCCCCGTACATACCCACCGCGATGACAAGAAGGCTGTGTGGGGAGGTGACTCATCTAGTCTCCACCAAACTCCTTTGTGGGTTGACTAAATTGTAGAAATCGGCCTAAAAGGGCGATTTAATTGGCCAGAGGAGTTGGCCGACCAAAGAGGATCCATTTTTTTCCGTGCAGGCAAATGGGACCCCCTCTTCAGGCCGATTTTTTTCCGTGTAGGCAAATTGGACCCCCTTTTTAGGTCGATTTCTACTATTTATTGATCCTGCTGCAAAGGAGTCTGGTGGAGACAATGACTCATCCGCTGAGTGAGTGAGACATCCCTGTACATCTCCGCTCCGTGTATCGCCCAGGTGTGACATTCCTGCTGACCTCACGTCTTCTGAGTCACGAAGGAGGAGGAAGAAACTCATCGTATCATCAATCTGACAAGACGTCTTCGCACGGAGTAGTGAGATCTGACGTCACCGCACACGCAACTTCGGGCGAATGGTTTCTGGGATTGTAGTAGTGAACATGGATGTAGGACCTTGTAGGTTCATTCGTTCTATGGAAAAATGCAGTTTTAGCAACAATAATATCATTGGAGTTGGAGTTTCTCTCTCTCTCTCCCCCTCTTTCTCTATCTCTCCCCCTCTCTCTCCTCTCTCTCTCTGTGTGCATGTGTGTGTGTGTGTGTGTGTGTGTGTGTGTGTGTGCATGTGTGTGTGTGTGTGTGTGTGCATGCGTGCTTGTGTCACTGTGTGTGTGCTTTTTTCAACCATCCTCCTTTCCATTTAAGTGTCACTGCACTGCACGCCTGGCTTAGCAAGCCCTGTCCTGAACATATCCACTCTATGCCCCTAACACCCTGGACGTGACGAAACAGTGTTGAGTAGGATCCGAAGTGCAGGATTTGTGAATAAAAAGTTCGTGATGGACGCGTTTTTAACTGTGTAACACAGTCTCACCGTTGATTCTAAGGCGTTATCCAGAACGTTTACCTAATGCCCCGAACTATGTTACGTGATGAAACAGTCAAGAGCATGATCAAGTGCATGGATTCCACATTTCTCAGCC